TTGGGACCACACTCACTTCTAGGATTGAAGCTGCTAACTTCTTGTCTTGACTTGGGTCATAAACTTGACCATGGCTTTTCTTTTCCCGGCTACCACGAAGAAACAGAACGTGGATGGTTTTATGACACACCTGAGTTTTTCAGTCCTTTTGGTTCTTCTTTCTTCTGTCTGTTAGTATCTTCCAAAATATTCTCCAGTGACTCTTTTTCTCCACTTCAAACATTCCTCTGTCTCTTCGTCAGCTGCTAGGAGCATGGTGTTCTCCTTTTATGAAGCTCCTCATTCTCTGCATGTAAGGTCCTGCCTCACACTTAGAAAGAAGAAGGAATAGTTTGGGTTTTCTCCTCTCTGAGCCTCCGAGAGTGCTGCGTGAGCTCTCCCTGTGCCCACTGCTCCATACAAGAAAGCGGGAGTGGCAGAGCAGGTGCCATTCATCCTTCTTCCCCAGGAGGCCCCACAGGATGTTTTTGTTCTTGATGTGCGGTGATCTTTCCTGTATTTAGTAAACCTCCATCAGCTGAGACGTCTGTTCCACCGTGATAGAAGAGGCAAAATGCCCTCGTTTAGAATCACCTCTGCTAACATCACAGTCTGCTCCTCTGAAATTAATTTCTAAACCCAAGCAATACTATTGAAGGATTAATGTAAGATTAGAGTATTTATATTAAAATACCTTTTAATGTGAAAGAAATACATGTTCTTAGGTTATAACTAGAAGCTTGTTTTAGCTGTTCTATTAATTAAAGGTTTTCTTTGCCTAATGCTAATGAAGAGACTGGATTTCATGCGAGTGGGACTAGAGCCTTCTGAATTCCCAAGTGCTTTTTAATTCTAGTGTAAACAGTAGTGTGGAGCCCACGCTTCACACCAGTGCTTGTTTGAGCCCTTGCATGGATCATCAGGCCTTTGTCCTGACCATCACAGTGCTTAGCATCTGTCCAAACAATCAACTGTCCCATAGTGACGGTTTTGATAATCCCTTAGTTTCAGCACATTATGCTTAAAAGGAGATGGTTTAATCTGGGGAAGTTGTATGAAGTTTGCTTTCAGGAGGAGCTAACATCGTGACTGGTGGGCTAGTGTTGTCTGAAATGTAAACTGAAGTGTTGGTGCATGTCCATGTGTTTATATAGGCAGTCACAAGATACATTGGCAAATAGAGACTATGCATTTACTGTGATTTTTCTTTCATTGACAACTGCAGCTTATGGCCAGATTCCAATGTCTATTTTTATACACATGCGTAAACGCACATGCTGATATAGATGTAGGTATAGATATAGATATAATTTGTATAGTTTTTAAATAATTTGGAATTTTTTGTGCAAAACATCTTCTCACTGACATGCCAGAGTATTCTGCTTGGCTGTCCTTTAAGCACTGAGGCTGTCTGTGACAGCAGTTTGAGTAATCAATGATGGGAGTGTTGAAATGAAGCCAATAAGTCTATGATGAGTTAGCTTTGTCAAACAGGGTAACAGAAGTTATTACTTAATTCTTTGCTGAGTATTTCCCACAGTGGGTAGCTATGGAGTTTAAAATAGCCATGTAAGCAAAAGCATGGGCAAGGCAAAGGGGTGATTCACACTAACGAGAACAAGAGCACATCTGTATTCAGAGTGGCTCAGGCATGTTCAGTGTATAGCTGACTTGATGCTCTTTTACTGAAGAAAGGTGACACTGAAGGCCATCTCCAGTTTCATATTTTTATGAACTACTTCTTGTCTGTATTATGAGCTGACTTCTCAGCCATTCTTAGTGTGATTGAACACTGCGTATTAGGCACTGAGAGCTCTGAAATGCTGCTGTGTTTAATCCAGAAATGTCAACATTTGAAAACAATTTCCTAAGATAATTTTTGTAGTTTTCCAACTGAAACAAATGTGCACGACCGATGTATTTTTACTTATATCGTTATTCTAGAGACATGACATCCTTTTCCCTGAAAGAAAAACTTGTGCCATGGCTGCTGCACAGCATCCTCCAGTTCTCTGTGTAGCATTGTAACAGTGTCATCTGGATGGTGCCCAGGATCAGGTGGAAGGAATATGAAGGTCTTCCAACCTCAGATTGGTTAAAAGGGTGACAGAGAGTCACAGACAGAAGGTTAAACAGAAGGTTGTAAACTGTGAATGAGGCGGAGATGGCTCCACTCTCAGTTATTAGTGCCTAAATGTGTGTCAGACTGCTGTTGAAGGTTGTCTGCCAGATGAAGAAGCCATTTGATTGATAACACAAGAAGGCAAAGCTCCGGAAGATGCACAAACCCGAAGCAAATTAATCAGGACAGTGAAAACAGATGCAGAAGTTGAGTATTCACAAGGAGGAATTCACAAGCAGCAACAGACTGGTGAAAGTTTCTTGTCCAGTCTGCATAAGGGAAGCTGCGGATATTGTACAAAGACGTGCTGTTCTCATTTCCCTGCATTTGCTTCGAACTCCTGTTTATTGCATATCAAACACATTTGCATATCCAGGGATGAAATGGAAATGATTGATGCAAAAGAGGTATTTTTGTTAATTGTTGTTGCTCTGAGTCATGCCTGACTGGGACTGCTGGAGATGGGTGAGGAAAGACAGAACTATTATTAGAGGTATAAATAATTGTCCAGAGCAACTTTTAAACCCATCTGTTACCACATATCAACATCCAAAATTACCCAAAGAGAGGAGGGGCAGCAATACAAGGACTAAGCCAACACCATGTTTCTGTTGATGTAGATGTTGGCAACTGCCTCTGAATCTTTGTCCATTTTTTTTCATTTCTGCTCCCTTGGAGCTTCAATTGTTTTCTGTCACAACCCTATCAGTGCCTGCTGGATGTTGTACGCTCAGAGCTGTTGGGTGTTTGGGAGTTGGGCTGCTTTATCTGCACGACACTAGTGAAATGTGTCTACTTTTTGTCCTGTTAGTTGGAAAGCAATTCTTGATGTGTTCTCATACATGCAAGGTGGAGCCAAGATGAGAGGAGCATCCAGTTTGAGAAGGGAAAGCTGTGCTTGAAGTGCTTAAAGACAGTGTTTTTCACAGTGGAACTATACTGCAGAGCATGCAGGAGTTTTTCTGGTACTTCCTTCTCTGCAGGAGTAGCGAAGAGGGATTTTAGAAATACCTGTCTATGAATGGTTGCATGATCCTTGGGTTCACTGTAGATGTGGGCTGGGTAAGTAACTGAAGTGGATCAAAACAGCTGAAGTGCAGCTTACTCATGTGTGAGCAGCAGCCAGAAAACCCAAGCTCCAAATAATTTTGGAAATATTATCCTTCAGAGTATCATCTCATGCTAACACGAATCCTGGCTTCCAATGCGAGTGATAAAATACACCCACAGCACTCTCTAGTTTATATCCTTCCACCTGTAAACATTCTGCTGTGAAATAATTCTTGAAACAGCTGTTTCCATTAGATAGTAGTTCAAGAAATGACCCTGCAGCAGAACATAGTCTGTAGTTTGGCCTCATAACCTTATTCCAGAAAATATATTATAGATCCTGTAGGTGGAGAACTCAGAATGAGTAAGGACAAAGCATTCAGCCCTTTTTGCTTTTGCTTTGTTGGCACTGGGGATTGTATCTGCATTTCTAGGAAGATGTGGGGAAATATCTATTTTTGTGACAAACCTGAGGTTTGTGGAGAAGTTACAGGGAATCTTTAGTGGCAGAAAATGGGGGATATCTGAGAAAGAAAGGTAATTGTCTTGGAGATTGTTACCGATTTCGAGATTTTTCATTTAACTGGAGTTAGCTTTTATATGAGATGACCCTCACAAAGTGTTGGTTTGTTTACAAGGTAAATTGTCTTCAGCAAGCTTGCCTCTTGCTTACTTGCTTCATCCCTCTCTAGGCTCAAGAAAGAGTACTGCGATCAGACTTTTCTTAAGAAATCTTAGGACTCATGATGTGTTAATGTATTGTTTGCAGTCAGATGAGTCATGCAAACTCACAAGCCTATTTTTGTACCGGACCCTATGTTAATTTTAGTCATGAATCTTCTACTGGTTATTCTAGCTGACAGAAATCGTAAGCGTTTTGGTTTTGCTATGTCTTTATGATATGACCCTATAATTCAAGTGAGTTGTTATTGAATAAAACATTTCTCAGTAAAAAATCTCAATCTGTGAAAGCCTGCTTGAAGCATACTCGATTGCAGTCCATTTCAGATTGCCATAAATAGACATATAAACTGAATTCAATAGCTGAAAGATGAACTGACAATGTGAGTTTTGCAGTTATTTGCTCTATTTCACATCAATATCTCTTGGTGTCTCTTTTGTGTTCTTGACAGGTGAAGTTGAATAATGATTATCTTTATATCAACAAATGCTTTGGTACTACATGATTATAACTAATTTCAATCAAGCACTTGTCTAAAATTAAGTCATTTGAATGGATTTTGGGTCTCTCATTATCTTCACTCCAACTCATTTAATAATAGGATTCTTCTTAAGTAGGTGGCTCATGCCAGTCTTCCACATGGTGTTATTTTTGGCACTTGCAGCATCCACATGAAATTGCTCATGCTTCTCTTATATTCTAATCAAGCGCTGTATGGATTATCATCTTGTGCATCTTGTGAGACATGCATGTCTCAGTCCAGAAGAGAAGTGGCAAGATTATATAAATCTCTTTTCCCACTGTTTCTGATATTATGGAGGGTTAGCATTTCAAAGGAGAGGGGAGTACACTCCAGTTAATTGGCTTCTACATAAAGTAACTGCCACTGAAGAGTTGATAGGTCAAAGTAATTCCATTTCTCTGATAGCCGCTTATTTCCTTTCATATCTCTCTCTCTCCCCTAATTTACCTTGTATTTTGTTCACAGCATTTATGAAGCTTTAAGCTTTTTACTGTCTCAGAAGTAGTCACTTAAAGGGCCTACATTACACTGGAAAAAGTGAAGGGGTGAGGGGTGGCGAGGGTGGCGGCTGGTAATCATTTTATTGGAGAATAAAAAAGTGAAATCCACTGAATCTTAAAACTGTGTTTAATTATATGTTTCAGGAACTTCTATTACATCACGATGCTGAGGGATCCGGTGTCGCGGTACTTGAGTGAATGGAAGCATGTCCAGAGGGGTGCGACGTGGAAAACTTCCCTTCATATGTGCGATGGAAGAAGCCCAACACCAGACGAGCTGCCTACCTGTTACGAAGGAGATGACTGGTCTGGAGTCAGCTTACAGGAATTCATGGATTGTAGCTACAACTTGGCCAACAACCGCCAGGTGCGCATGCTGGCAGACCTCAGCCTGGTGGGATGCTACAACTTGACTTTCATGAATGAGAGTGAAAGAAATACAATTCTTCTCCAAAGCGCCAAGAGCAATCTGAAAAATATGGCCTTCTTTGGGCTCACAGAATTTCAGAGGAAAACGCAGTATCTCTTTGAGAGGACATTCAACCTGAAATTCATTTCCCCATTTACCCAATTCAATGTTACACGGGCCTCCAATGTGGACATTGGTGAGGATGTACGGCAACGGATAGAGGAGCTGAATTTCTTGGACGTGCAACTGTACGAATATGCAAAGGACCTTTTCCTGCAGCGCTTCCAGTACTCCAAGCAAGAGGAGCATCAGAAGAACCGGCTAAAGAGGCGCGAGGAGCGGCGGCTGCTGCGGGAGCAGCAAGTTCACCAGTGGCCGAGGGAAGAGGCAGCAGAAGTAGCTGTTACTGAAGATTATAATAGTCAGGTAGCAAGGTGGTGATGCTCCTCCATCTTGACTAACTGATGAGAGGATCAGAGTTTGTGCAACTTGGCTACCAGCGAATTAGCCGAGGAAGGCCTACCGCTTTGGTAAACAAGACCACCTCTGACAATTTGTCTCAGTTTTTCTTGGTTTCTGGCAGTGAGGAGAATGTATTTTTTTCTCAATAGGCGTTGATTAGTGTTATTAAATGACAGCAGAATAGATTCCTGTCCAAAAAGACTTCCTTCAAAGCCCTAAGATATCAGGACGGGTTGAAGAGAGAGCTGTATCCTTTGCATTAACAGATACAATCTGTTAATCTGTACAAGTTGAGCTACCAAAACTTGTGCAGACATGAATGAAAAATTGGGAAAAAGTACCTGGTTTGGTTCCTCTGTGACATGAGAGTTGGTTTATTTCATACTGTCCTTTGCAACTGTAGTGCGTAGCATTCTAGTGAATGAAATGGAGGAAAGCGTGTTGCCCTTCAAACTTCTACATGCTGTGTTGGGATTAAAGGAAGAATTTGCTGAGATAATTAAAAAAGACCTAGGCAATGTGGGATTGGGGCATTGCTTGTTCTGTCAGCCAGAAATCAAAGATGATTTGTAAGTGAAGTGATGGAGGGTTTAGTTTATTTCTCCACAGATGTTGAGAGTGCCAAACCCAGCCAGGTAGCAGCCATCTTTCTGAGTGCGTGTGGCAAAGGGAAAGCCTCAAGAAATGAGGTCCATGTGGCAGCTGGGCACACATCATGGAGATTATCTGGCTGGAGGCGATGAAATCAGCCTTCGCATTCACAAAAAGTGAAGAAGGGCCAAGCAAACTACAGGGAAGAGGAAAGAGAGAGCAGGAAAAGCTTAAATATTAGTGTGACATTTTCCAGATTTGCTGTGAAACCTGGAGATATATTGTCTGTGAAGGCAGGCAGGTTTATAATATCATCTGCTAAAATACATTGATGCCAAGTGAATACAATTTAAATTGGTTTTCTCTCTAACTACAGTAGTGGCTAGAAAAAAAATCAGCTTTCATTTTTGTAGGATATATAATGGATATGTGGAAAGTCTTGATATTTATTACTCTGTATGAAGATTCTTTGTAAATTTATTGTTTTCATTACGAGAGATCTGTACCTGTTTTTCTTCCTTGTCTAGAAAAAGATTCAATGGTTTCTTCCTCCACGTGTTACACTCTTGTGGCTAAACTGCCTCTATTTATTCCAAGCTTTTATGTTATTCCATTTGTAATAGTGGAATTTTAAAGAGAGGATCCTGTGCACCATAGATCTTTTGAGAGAGTTTTTTTCCTTCTTCTTCTAGCATAAATGTAAAGCATTAGGAGGAAATTTCTCTAAGTGCCTCAACGTGGCTGCTAAATCGAGATGCTGAAAGTATATTATTGCATGCATGAATGGCTTTTACCTTACAGATTTGCTAATTAGAAATACCAGAGTACCTGATGTGGATCCGCATTTCTCATTTGGTTTTGAAATTCAAGGTTATTATCCAGTTGGCAAAAAAAAATATAATATGTTACAGAAAAAGGAGGTTGAATTTGAAAATTTGTCCCTTCATTTCCAAGTCTTCTTTTTTTTTGGTGCTTGCTGTATCTACTTTTCTTCCAACAATGCTATTGCTACTTATCTATAAACAATGTCAAAAATATAATCTAAAGATCCTGTTGAGAGTTGATGCATACAAAAACATGGAATATCGTAACGGCTATTAAGAAGTGAAGAGGGCTACTGTTCCACTGGTGGATCATGTGCATCTCCTCCCACCTCCGCATTCAGACAGGAAAACGTGGAACCGCAGATCTCTACTCTCCTGCCCGAGCATAGGATGCCCACCTTAGAGAAGAGTGAGGAGCTCTCTAGACTCCCTGGATGGCAGGACTGAAGCTTGCTCTGGGTGTCCTGGCTGCAGGACAGCGAGGCCATGAAGATCTAAGCCTGACCAATATTATTGCAGCTTTAGTGCAGTGCAGGTAATTCACAGTGATCTGACGTGTTACCCGCTGGCACCGGCGCTTCAGGCTGGGCTGGCCCTTGCCCTGTGGAGGGAAGGTGACCGACTTTCTGGGCGGTGACGTGGCAACGGTGGAGAGCCGTGGCATCTCCCCATTCCCGAGCCCATTGCTGCATCTTGCTGCAGAGCCCATGGCAAGAGAGGGGGAAAGATGTCTTTGGTGCCTGATACTCACGTCCAGGATGCTCTCCTTGTTTCCATGAGCTCAGGAAAGATGCAAGGCCTAATTCACATGGAGGACAAAGATGAGCAAGGAAGTAGAATCAGTCCCAGCCTGTCTTTTGCTGTAAAGCGTCCCTTCTTTTTCCTCCTTAGAGCAAAAAAAAGGGTCCCCTTCCTGGCATCCCTGCCTCTTTCCCCAGCGGGCCACCTCTCTGTGCCGCTTACAGCAATGGGGGCCTCGTTTTTCATTTAGAAAACGCAGTGTTATCTTTTCAGGGGAGAGGAGGCAGAGCTCAGGAATGGTTCCCTGGAGCCTCACCAGTGACTGTAAGTATCAGTTTCAGCTGTCTAAGCACAACCAACTGTTCTCCAGACTATTCCTTCTGCCTGACACGAAACAAAGCCTAATGAGGAAAATCGAAGCAGTCTTTGGGCGGTTTACATTAGCTTTAATAGTTTGGCAATACCTTAATGCGATGCCTAACCTTTTGTTAGTTGTTTCCCAGGAGACAAGATTAGGGTCCTGAAGAGCTGTTAATATGCTGTAGCATCTATGTTAATGGGATTTGCCTCAACGCTTGGGATTTAGTTAAAATTGAAGTTGGTTTGTTGGTGGTTTTTTACCCTGGAGCCTATGTAGCAGATAGCCCTGGTTGTGCAGGAGTAGTTGGGGAGGGGGGCGGGCAGCCAGTGGCTGAGTTCTTGCCCGGAGTCCCTGGGACTGAAGGATCCGGCAGCTCCTTCCCCAGCTCTAGTGGTAGATCCAGCGAATTCACTGTGCCAATACCATTTTTCTTAGCAGAATTGCCTGGCACATGATAAATAAAGCAGTATGGAAATACTTTCAGGCTGACTTGTGAGACACAGGCTTGCAGCTTTTTTCCTCTTGGGCGCTGTGCCCGAAATAATGTAATGCAAAAGCAAAATAAAGGCCCTGGTTCATATCTCTGTTATTCCAGGTTTCATTGCTCTGACAGCATGGGCTTCACTGTAATTACACTAGCTTGTATAAGATCGAAGCGCAGTCCATTCCTTTCAAAACCTTCCTGAGCAGCAACGCTATAGGATTTCTGTCCATCTTCCTGGCATTATTTTGTTGCTTAAACAAGGCAATTTGGCTCCTGCTACTGTGGTGCTGAAACAAATCTCATTCTTTTGTAATGGAGATGTACTAGCTAATCTCTCCCATCACATCCTCAGCACTGGCTGCCTTTTCCAGTTATAATTCACAGTAGGTTTGGAGCAGACAGAGAAACATGCTGTGTCATTAAAACTTGTTCCTGGTAATTCGATGTCTAGTCAAAGAGCTCAGCCTGTTGCCTATGGGTCATACTTTATTAAGGAATGAAAATTTGTCCCCTCTTTCCCGCTCATCAGTGCTAACAATAAAAAGCTTTTTCACCATGGGGAAATGAAAAGACACCGTTTCTGATGTTAGATATACTTCACTGCAGTTGTGTTAACAGTGAGGCTGTGATAGCCTTTCTAGGGCTGCTACCCAATGTGCTGTAGTTGTTTACAGTTCACTAAAAACAGAGGTACAGAACAAGAGAGTGATGGAAGTCAGATCCAGAGCCAAACCTTCCTAACTGCAGCATATCTGTTCAACCAGACGAAATGGCAAGTCGCATCACCTTTCATCTGGAGATGTTTCAGATCTGACATCCACTACTAAACCAGGAGGTTTCTCAAGTTGGCCTTCTCATTAACACATGCTTCCTTCTGCACTAGCGGGTTCTTGTTTCCCACCTGCAGTCTTGTATCGGTTATGAGCACTGATGTTATAAAACTTATCTCACTGACACTTTTTTTTTTCCTCTGCTGCTGTTCTCTTGGTGTATGTGGAATTATTATTTTTTGGTCTGGGATAAGGAATACTTTGTTTTCAGGCTGGTGGAGACTACCCTGTATGAGATGAATAATCACAATAAAAACATTATTCTGGAGTAGATTGCTGTATCCTCCCTATGTGTGGCAAAAGCATACTTGGAAAAGGTACCCAGTTTGCACTGAAACACTTCTTTCAGTTTCATTCTTGTGATACTTTTTCTTTGTTGATATTTTGTGGAGGGAAATAGGTTCCATAGCCTACAATGTCCTTGGCTTTCTTCACCATATCACTAGCTCTGTGAATTCAAATAAATGTTGGAAGTGAAAAAAAAATGTCAAGAGTTCCCATCAGTTGCCATATTTAAGATGAAAGGGTAAATTAATAGCCTGTAAATTACTTTATTCTTTAGGATTTTTCCTTCTGTTTATGTGCAATAATGTCTGTGAACTCTGCTACTAAGAGATTGTATTGTGAGTAACCATATCTACTTTTATTCCTATTTACAAGATAGTTTGTAGATCTAGGGATTTTCATTGATGTAAAGCACAATTTAATGAATTATTTAATGTGTTTAACCATTGTGATGTCAAAAGCAATTGTTTTCATATATTTATTTGTTGGTGGTTTTCTGTAAAATGATGCTCATTAAGAAACCTGTTAAAAATGAAGAAGTTTTGTTGAATATTGTTGGGTCCCTGAATTATTTATGAGCAACAAATAAACATTGTTTGCGTTTTTGAAACACTAAAGGTTCCATCTTATCTATGGATAAAATAAAAATGACTAAAAATGCTTCTGTCAGGCCAGTTTCAAGCATTAGTAAAGATCCACTGTGACCATAAATTTTTTTTTTAACAAAATGTACATGGAGGAAAAGCATGTTGATATAACTTACTGTTTAATTATGTTGAGGTCCAATACCTTTACCTTTTGACTTTTGACTTTGACTTTGGTGGGCTTTATCTCAGATTGAATTAAGACAGGAGAGTCGAGAC